ATGTACGGGCCACTGTCTCCTAAATAAACGTCTCTTTGTCTTTGGCACACAACAAGTCACACACGTAGTCCTGGATGGCTTGGCTGTGGCTCCCCAACGAGAAGAAATTTTCGGAGCAGTGAGGTCGCTCCGTGAAGCCTGTGAAGTGGCCAAGAAACTTCAGAACATCTGGACAGGACCGGACGTACAACCGACCATATGTACGTCTGAGTGCGGATACTGAGCACACCATACATATATACTAGGAAAAAAAAGGTGACATTTTTAAGAAATGAAAATTCGTAAAATATAAATACCTTTTATTGTGATCTTCTGATGTCTCTAACGAGTACTACGACGATTTATATTGTTTATTTTATATTATGCCTACAAATGACTGTGTTGGATTACTGTCCGGGTGCATACCTACTATATTGCAAACACTTTCCCACGCAGTAGGCTTCTGCAATGAAATCACGACTTGATGCTTCTATAAAACAGTAAAGTATGTACCTAGAACTGTGTCGAAATTAATGTAACTACGGTGAATTGTGACACCTAACTACTTGTTGTTTTATTTGATATGAAATGAATGAACCATTCAATTTGTTCTATATTTAAAAGCTAATTGTAACGATTTTTTTTGTAGCTAATAAAATTATAAATCAAACTGACGACGGTCATACGAAACTTAGATAGATTGTAATAATGACAAGTTTTTTATTCTTCGTTCATAAATTTAAAGTAAAGGAGGTGATTATACTTTCTTAATCGATGATTATTTGTTTTGAAAATGGCAACACTATTGTGTCACTTTGATTTATTATTGTTTCATATGCGATTATTGATTTAAGATCTACAAATAACCTACTTCCGTCCGCCACGTTCGTCCCTTACTTACATTTAAACCCGTAAAACTTTTAGACTTACTTTCAGTATTAGAACATTACGATGTTACCATTTTAAATAACCAATGATATCAACAACTACTAAAACTAGATTTTATACATATTCAGCGTAAAATGTCTCTATCATAATACATGACGTAAATCAGAACAATTGCTACGTATACTAACAATAGGGCCGGATTTAGAGGTATGGACGCCTCAGGGTAAGGCAAGTCGAGGCCCTTTGGCCCCAAATCATTTACCAAATAAATTGAACAACTTTTTTAGTGGAGTTTTTCAATCAATAATTTATCGTGAAACCAAATAGATTCTGTTAGTATTTAACAAACATAAAAATATATCCAAATAAAAGTTCTTTACTGGTGTTTACTAGTCGGAATTTAAAACTTTTTTTTCCGAAGTCTCTATTGTGGGAACCCCTCTTTTGTGGAGGGCTGTCCCCTAAATCCAGCCCTGACTAACAAAGCAAAGATTATACAATTAACCTTATAAATTGACATTTACCTGCTGACGTAAGTACTATATTAAGCTATTATGCAGCTTAGCCTTAATCTTAGTCAAGACAAAGGAAGTAACTATTTATAAGTAACTCATATTGATATATTGTAAGTGTTTAGCTTTTAAAGCTTTAAAACCTTTTGAAGCCTTAAATATATTTGATACTGCTCAGAGAGCCAAATAATGGTGTTAAAAATTGGAATATACTGATAATTGGTCACGGGTGTTGCAATTAGTGTAGTAACTAAAATTCTTGTAAAATAGATATTTATATACTTTTTGTGTGTATAAAGAAGATTCACAGCTTATAACTAAATTATGTGCTAAATATAAACAACTTTTTACGCCTTAAAATAAATGTTCAGATATAATCAAGTACAGACCAATCAGTTTGTTACCAAATATATACAAACTTTTCGCATCCATTATAAATAATAGACTAAGCCCGATAATAGAGGCAAAACAATCTGTAGAACAGGCAGGTTTCAGAAAAGGGTACTCTACTATCGACCACATACACACCATAGAGTTAGTTATGGAGAAATATCAAGAATTTCAGAGACCTCTTTACATAACTTTTGTTGATTATCAAAAAGCTTTTGATTCAGTCATACACAAAAGTATATGGGAAAGCTTAAAAGAACAAGAGGTGCCAGATAAATACATAAAGGTGATTAAAAGCATATACAATAACAACAAAGGAAGAATAAAGCTAGAAACTTTAGGCCCCGCCTTCCATATAGAAAGAGGAGTAAGACAGGGGGACCCGCTCTCACCCACTATTTTCATAGCAATACTCGAAAACATCATGAACAAATTAGATTGGAGTAAAACAGGACTCTGTATAAAAAAGGCACCTACCTAAGTCACCTGAGGTTCGCTGACGACCTGATCCTTCTGTCAGAGACAGTCAACGAGATGCAATTCATGATAGAATCTCTACAACAGGTGAGTGCGGAAGTTGGTTTGGAGATGAATCTAACGAAGACAAAGATAATGAGTAATACACGAAAAAGACCTATAACTATCAATGGTAACCCTTTAGAGTATGTAGAAAATTATACTTACCTGGGAAAAAGAATAAGTTTCGAGGAAAACAGTAACATTATAGAAATAGAGAGAAGGGTCCAACAAACCTGGAATAAATATTGGAGCCTAAAAGAAATATTTAAGAGTAACCTACCAATAACTCTCAAAGCTAAAGTTATGAACTCATGTCTACTACCCAGCTTAACTTATGGAAGCCAGACCTGGAAATTCTCTACACAAGCTGTGAATAAAATCAATGTATGTCAAAGAGGTTTAGAGCGAAGCATGTTGAATATAAAGAGAATGGACAAAATAAGACATACAAAGATAAGAGCCGTCACTAAAGTTACAAACGCTTTAACTTTTGCCCGAAAACTGAAATGGAATTGGGCTGGCCATGTGGCAAGAATGTCTAGCAGAAAGTGGACCAAACGAGTTACCCAATGGAAAGGACCACCAGGCAAGAGGCGGAAGGGGGGGCCCCTTAGACCGCTGGGAAGATGATCTGTAAAGATCAGCTGGCAAAAACTGGCACTCCATAGCACAGGACCGACAACAATGGGCATCTTTGGAGGAGGCCTTTACCCAAACCGGGGTTCCTGTTAAATAAATCCTATAAATATATATTACTAACATAATTTAAGCTAACCTACTAACAAATCAATATTTTTGGTAACTTTAATATAACAACTACCAACTTTTGTAAAACAGGAAATAAAAAAGGCTTTATTATTATTATTATTATTATTATTATAATCAAGTACTTTATAAACTCAAACTCAAACTCAAAATATCTTTATTCAAGTAGGTAACCAAGTACACTTTTGAATCGTCAAGTTAAATTAATTGTAAATTTACATTTACTACCAGTTCGCAAGTCAAGGGCGTAGGGCGGGTAAGAAGAACTGGCAAGAAACTTTCCGCCACTCTTTTTAATCGCCAAGTATTGTCATACAAATTGTTTGAACTGGAGCAAATCAACCCCAAGGATTAGGATCATTTAAGTATTCCTCAAATTTATAAAACGCTTTATTGATTAATTGCCGTTTAACGAGGGCTTTGAATTTATTTAGTGATAATTCTCTAATTTCGCTTGGGAGTTTGTTGTAAAAACGAATACAATTTCCATATAAGGAGTGGTTTGAGTTATAGTTAGATGTATTGGGTAAATCCATGGTAACTAACAAAGAAAACTAAAATAGTCGAAGAACACTTAGGGTAGGAAAGTTATGATACAAATATTTAGTAACTTATCATTAAAGTGATGTTTATTTAAAGACAAATTATAATATATTTTCAATATTTTAAAGTGCATGTGCACATCAAGAGAATGTAAACAGTTACTCTAACAGAGCGTCACATTACTGATTGAAATAGAAATTAAAAGTATATTTATTTGGTTAAGGAAATATATGTCATCAGCAACACTGATTTTCATAGTAACAGCTCTAAATAAAATTTTGGCGTTTACGAACATTTTAGGATATGATAGGTCATAACATGATTTTTTTAATAAAGCCTTTGTATATGTCAGTTTTATGCGTAACCTAAAAACCTTCGAACGCGATAAAACAATGATATTTTTATTATTAGCAACAAAAACTTGTCTATAATCTAACCTTCGAATTTCCGTATGACTGAGTAATAAAAAACAATCTCTAAGTGATTTAGTTTTTTGTTTTATTGTTTTGTAATTTTGACAATGATAACCGATTATCTAACATTGAACAATTGTTATTCCATGGTTAATCCAATGAATAGTTATAAAGAATTCTGAATGCAAAGCCTTATTCGCCTTTTCACTTTTTATCTATAGACGGACGAAGAATAAATTTATGACTTAATATTGATGGAAAGAAGAATCAGCCAAGTACTTGCTTGATTTAAATGGAATATTTATAATATTACTAGCTACCCCGCGAACTTCGTTTCTCCTTAATGTGATTTTACTTAGCCTACCTTTTTAGTACATACCAACATGGAACATTTTGCTTTGCTACCCCAGAGACTGTTCGGTTTTCTGGAATGAAAACTTTTTAGGTTTTTCTGTGAACTTTTCTCTGTATAAAGTTCAAGTCATAAAAAAATTAATTAACAAATAAAAAATAGGAGTTGATCGTAGAGGGGTGAAAATTAAAGGTTGTATGTATTTTTGTATGTTTATCCAAAAAAAAAAAAAAACAATTTTTTTATCTAAAAAATAAAAAATTTGGAGCCCTTAGGATGGGGTTTGAAAGATAGACAGTAGCTGATTTTCTCAGACTTACTGAATATGCATAAAAAAATTCATAAGAATCGGTCGAGCCGTTTCGGAGGAGTATGGGAACGAACATTGTGACACGAGAATTTTATATATTAGATTTTGAATACGCTACAGTTAGCAAAGAGACGAGGATATTTTGGAGAAGTTCTATCTTCAAATTGCGTAAACGAAATATGTGTTTTTTATCTTTGGCGACAATTTTTGCACTTCTTCATAGAAGTCTTGAATATTAAGCGCAAATAAGAATATAAATGTAACTTAAATTGAGTCAATATTAATATATTTGTTTATAAATAGAGTACAAGATTCTCTTTTTATTTCAGGTACACAGCAAAGGGCTGAAGTTTGGTATCTATGAAGATTATGGCAACTTCACTTGTGCCGGATATCCGGGTGTCGTCGGCCATCTTGCTGGAGGTAAAATTGATAGACACATAATCCTAATGATAAAATTACTAAGGTGTATCATATGTGTGATATGCTTGTCGATGTTTCTGCAGAACTGAGTGTTTTTCTTATAATACATTTTACATAGTAATAATTTACTAGTCGACAATTGTTGTTTTACTGAATCTGCTTTAAGAAGGATAAAGGATGAGATAAATAAGCAATGTTGGCCTAGTGGCTTCAGCTTGATACTCCTGAAGTTGTAGGTTCAATTCTCGGCAACAATGAAGTTTCTCTGTGTGTGCGCTGTTATGTTATTATATTACGTTATTTTATTTATATTATGCTATGTTAGGAAACCAACATGCCTTAGACCCAAAAAAAGGCAACGGTGTGTCAGGCACAAAAGGCTAATCAATTCACAATTGCTATAAACAACCACGTTTTTGAAGCAATAAATTTTTAGTGTTTCGCGTCCTTTAAATCAAGCATTGTAATTGACGGTCATTTTATTGGAAAAGTTATTTATTGCTCCACACACGCAGTTTAGTAATAGTTTTATTGAACCAATCATGAAATATACATATTTCCCTTTGAGACAAAAAAGTAATTGTTTATTTACATATTTCGTAAGTTTATTTGCGACTATTATAATAACATTACAAAATGCCAATCCCCTGTCATGAACCCAGTCTTACCTCATTCAATGTAATTTACATTTAATCTTCGATAGGTACTGTACAACTATGCATTACTAGTTTACACACGACTTCGGCAAGAGTTTAAACAAATATATTTACTAGATAGACATAGTAACCGCTTATTGTCGCCCTTAGGGTTAATTTTAATATAAATTGTGGACTGATTCCGTTACAATAGAAATACATCCAGTAACAAACATGGTACTGACTTTAGTTCACGTATGAGCCGCCGTTTCTACCCTAAGTACTGCCTAAAAGCCTAACCGTAGGATCACGGTGTTATTCTAAAAAAAAACGATCACTGAAACCCCACTAAAACGGAAATAGTATATTTCATTACTCACGTGTACTGAACAACTATTTTTAATACAGTTGCGAAAAAATTATGCAATTTAATAAAATAATAAAAAAAACAATAAACTCAACTCACTAATCAATTTCTTATACAAATTTATTGTTCACATATACATTGGTACAGTTTTTTATACTAACTGGAGAAGTTTTAGGTTGCATATTTATTTACTGTTTGAGACAAACTATAATTAATTTCGTATGATTGTTCATGTATATTTAATATATAATATAACAAACAACTAAACGCGCAAAGAACATTTATGGAAAATGGCGCCAACCGTAAAAGAATATAAGCAGATATTTTTTTTTCTTCACCCATTCTGGGTAGGCAAAGGGAACTATGCCCATACAGCCAAGTCTTCAGTACAATTTTTTATTGATATGAAATGAAATTTAATGAGATGAAATGAAATCTAACCTAACTCATTGAATCAAATCATTAAATCTGATATTGAAACAAAGCAGTAGCTTCTTTTTAGAAATATTTGCATGAATCATAAAAATTTCTATGAATTTTTTTTAGTAAAAACTTCGTGGTTGGTTTTTTCTTTTTAATAGACATTATTTTGACAGTTGGGAAAGAAAACGCACTAGTTCGGAAAAGGTAAAAAAAAAGCACGAGTGTGTAAAAGCCCACATCCCGAACGCTATACGTCCCTGCAATACGCCACTTTTTGAGCAACTGTCTTAAAAAATAATATTAATAGAAGTAATCATTTGTTCTACCTCGTGCCTCTTTACAGAATAGAGGACTTCAACAAATAAGTTAAATGAAATAAAAACAATAAACGCATATTTGTTTGTCCAAAAAAAGTTGTAAAATGGAACTTTTTTTGCTGCAATGCTTTTCATGACCCATTTTTTTACTAACTCAAAACAGAATTAAGGTAGACTTTTGTTTTGGACTTCTATGGTTTTCGGTCTTGGATACTTATATTGTATAGTAAAAAGATCGCCATACCATCCTCAGACTTCCCTTTAGTATGCGGAAATTAATAAATATGTGTTTTTATGTTATAAAAGATTCTCGTTTAATTAGGAAGTTGCATATTGATCAATAGATGCTAATTAGTTGATGACGATCATTTAAACTAGCAATTATATAAACGCGGTAATAATTAACCTATTAAAGGTTGCCACTAAATGTCACCAAGTAGTAGTTGAAACAAAACACTATTGGAATTTTTATTCCTCGATTGCTAAACAATTATTGCTCTGTTTTAATTAAAGTACTTATCTGTCTCTCTTCCTCATAGCGTTAACACAATTTGACAGAAAGAGACGAAAGAGAACTTCGGGAAAAAATATATTCCAATAAGCTTGTATCTGTCCTGTTACATCTGAATGTAAGGGGCAGATAAATTTCTCTGTCCTTATTAAAAAATAGTAGATGTGTTTCTTATTTCTGCGGCTGTCCGAGGAGTCTTGTCCGATAACTACTAATGTAGAAGCATCCATAGACATATTACTATGCAGTTCGTTGCTATATTAGATGCCTCTGCCAGTTTGATTCCCACTATAAAAGTTTCGAGATGAGAAGTGTTAAAAAATATGGGTGAAATAAAGGCCGCACGTTGTAATTCTGAAGTCTATCCTATGTTATATATTTCCTTGCTTTGCGTGAATAGGACTACTATGTTACTTTCAATATCAGTTAGTTTTCATATCCAATTGTCGTACCACGTAAGTCCAAGTTTGAGTTACCACGCAATAAGGATGTTGAAATTTATAGCATACGGGTGTTCTAGTTGGAGTGTCGTTTCTTTAACCTAAATCCAATCTTACCTTTAGAGTAGATACTTAACAATACCATGACTCTCAAATGCCAAATTCCAATAACTTTTGACATACTGGACTGATACTCAGCACTAAGACTCAACTCTGATAGTCCCTAGATAGTTAAATGTAGTTGTTTTTTGTGAGAATATATTACAGAACTATTGAGATACTTAAATTGGCATTGGTTACAGAGTACGGGGGCTGATTCCTGAGTTAACACCTTGACACGATTGAAAGGTGTAGTGAACGCATTAAAGTTACCAAATATGCAACGATATGTCGTATAGTATTAGCGTATTAAATTACATTTATAGTTGCGAACTAGATTTGAATTTTTAAAGTGAAACTTCTAGGCGCATGTGGGTTAAATTTTTACGGATGAAACACAATAATAATAATAATAAGATGTGCAGCGTTTTTGTCGAAAAATAGGGAGAGGCCGATTGAGACCGATTGACAGAGATGAGAAAGGGCGAACGTAGCATGAAGCAAATAGCCATGGTGCGAGAGTAAGGAGCAAGAAAGTGAGAAAGATCGAGATAGAGAATAATCGAGAAAAAAATCGGTTGTCTGTAAAGTCGGTTTACTGACGATAGTTGAACGTGACAACGTCATAAGAAAATACTGATGGAATGGTTGCATTTTTGAAAATACAATTTTAATATTATTTGTTTGATAGATATTTTGTATGAATATAGAGAAGGAGGTAAATGGAAATCACAATTGAATTGATCAAGTTACATTTATTTGTATGCATAAATACTATTATATCAATTTTTGTGCCTCTTTGTCGCTCGTTCCGCGCTCTCACTTGCACTTCAAGCCTTAAATGGAACGCCTCAGGGGTAACGCCGCATGAGTCATGTTTTTTCGTACGTGCAGCCGGCTCCATCGAATTATAAGAAATTGTCACGTCAAAAAAAATACACGCTATCGGTTGATGTATCCGTTTAGTAGTTACATATTAGAACTTTACATATATAGAACTTTAAAATAGCCATTCTATCGCATAACGTCTTGTGCAGTAAACGCAGATTTTTTATTTATTCATATTATAATTAGCACGTAACAGTAAACAGTATGAATATAGATATACTTACAAATACATGGAGTGATCATATATTGGGTACATGATCATCTATTGGGGCTTTACCTTTTTTTTATGTACGATATGTTGTATATTTGAGGAAAGTTTCTACTGCTATGGGTAGAATTATAAAACGAAATTACAGGGAACTACTTCAAAAATAAGATTTGCGGTTAGAAATTGTTTAAGATAACCCTAATTTTGTTGTATGATATAAAATATTACCAAAATGGAAACATGGTAATGTTTGGCCTTCATTTGTTTACGCCTACTTGTGTGCGGCAAGAAATGTCTGCAGTAAAAATTTATAAAATTCTTTCACGAACAAAACGTAGTGCGATGGAGACCTTAGATTAACACAGCCACAGTTTATAATGAATGAAATCCTACGATAATTACCATACAAACAAAAGCAATTATAGAAACGTCAGCCATATAATATTGAATTATATTATCTGTATGGTAGTTTTAACAACCCGTATAAAAAGTATTAAAAAATGCATAAAAGAGCGGAGAAAACTGGAAAATGTGTAAAATTGTGTAAAATTGTTTGTAGTGTCAAACTCCTTGAAATGAATTCATCCGATTTTGGTCTGCTACTTGAACATAAAAATGAAATGAAAATGGGCAGATCCTTCAGCGTCGCTAAATCGAATTTAGTATTGTGTTTTTCCATATTTATTCTACAAAAAAAGGGTACGTGTACTTATGTACGCGCGTAAGAATTTATACTTCTTTGGCATTATTAAAAATAGTTTGATTGCATGCAAATAATTAATTGCAATTAAATAATCAAAGACTGGAAAAGGAGTCATTATAGTCAATAAAGTTCAGTTTACATTTGAAAAATTAAATAAATAAATATTTATTATTATTCTCTTACATTAAGTGTAACATAAATTCTATTATTATTCGAATGTTGTTTTTAAATTATGTCCAATGCCGTAGCATCTTCCGTGGGCAACTTCATTCTGTTAATTTTGTGTCACGGAGCGCGCGCATCGTAAAATTTCACTCTCATAAATTTTTCATAACGCGCCTAAAGAAGTATAACTTCAAAAATTAAACTAGTACTATATTTCTAGATGCTGCAACCTTCGAGGCATGGGGCGTAGACTATGTTAAGCTGGATGGATGCTACGCTCTCCCAGCTGATATGGACCATGGATACCCGGCCTTTGGGAGGGAATTGAACGCAACTGGGAGACAAATGGTCTACTCGTGCAGTTGGCCAGTCTACCAGATATACGCCGGCCTACAGGTACGTTATTTGCTAGAATAATTGTACTTACTTCTTTAATGAGTGACGTTTGCTTTTTATATGAGCAGTGTTGGCCTATTGGCTTCAGCGTGCGACTCTCATACCTGAGGTCGTAGATTCGATCTCCGGCTGTGCACCAATGGACTTTCTTTCTATGTGCGCATTTAACATTTGCACGAACGGTGAAGGAAAACATCGCGAGGAAACCGACATGTCTTAGACCCAAAAAGTCGACAGTGTGTGTCAGGCACTGTAGGCTGATCAACTACTTGCCTATTAGATTTAAAAATGATCATGAAACAGATTCAGAAATCTGAGGCCAAGACCTAATGAGGTATTTACGCCATTAGGTCTTTTTTGCGCCACTTATTTATTTTTTATTTGCTTTTTTAAATATGATATTTACACTTAAAGACGTGCAAAAATACGATACTAACTATCACTTATCCACAATTTTGTTAAAGTGTGAAACGCCTAATGTTGAATAAACTTGAAACATTATTTTACTAAGTTGTAAGTGGGTTAACACTTTATGAGTACATTTTTAACTTCTATAGCCGCATAACTAAACTTGTACTTAAGATATTGTGAGGAATGAAAATGTAAAACAAAAGACGAAAGAAACGCTCATTTGTGAATGGTCAAATCAAAGATCGAAGAATATTTTCGGGCAGGCGTTAATAATGTGTAATATTTTGTATCACGCATGGTATAGGTTCAGTAAAAAGTAAAATTTTTTGAACGTTAAAACTTTTTTTACATTACTATACAATTTGTTAAAAGACCCGTTTTAATATATGTTCATTTTTAAAGAATAAATATGAATCAAACCCCAGTAAATTTATATTATTTTCTCTATTAAAAAAATATTTCAATAAAATTTGATTTAGGTGTTCAAGATGAATCTCATACAAACAACTTGAACTACAATGAAATATACAAACGCTTTTTAATAGCTAGGCCAGTCCTACGGCTAAAAATAATTCTAAAAAATAAAAAGTTCTAATAATATTTCATACAGATGATGGCATCGGGAAGCTATAATACATATAATGGAAGTGGTTCCAAACCGCTTTTTGTCATTTGCAATGTAATCAAATAATTACTCTCCCTTTTACGTAATACATAAGTACTTAAATTGAAACCGAGTGTTCTTTTAACTTCCTAGAATTGTAAAACACATTTACAACAATTGTTCCACGAAACGATTACTAGATGAAGTTTTTATTTATTCCTTTTGAATGATTAGGCTTAAATCGGATTAAAGCATTAAATTGAAGAGAATTTATTAATTTTAGTGATCAATACTTTTAGGTTTAAGAATAACTTTATTTGTCATAAGAATTGCATACAAAATTCACTTACTAAGAAACACATATTTAAAACTAAGATTAAAAATTAGAAATTAGAGAAATTACTTTTATGAAATAATTACGAAAGAAAATATATGATTATTAAGATTTATATACCTTATTAGTTTTAATATATTTTTATTTATTATGGACGTTATTTAAATATAAAGCATGATTAATTCATACGTATAGATGTCTTATACCAGTGTTTCTCAACCTTTGTTGTGCTATGCCCTACCTACCTACCTATATAGCCTTTCTAAAATTATTATGCCCCTTATGTAACATGGATAATTTTTAATATTAAATGATTTAATTGTTCACTTATGAAACTTAAATGATAGTTTTTATGAAGAAATTACTAGGACATTAAGTAAAATTTCAAAACTATTTTAATAAATTTAATAATCGTGGGCCTGCGTTATAAAAATAACGTGTCTGTACTTATGTACACGCGTTAGAAGTTATACTTCTTTGACGTAACAAGATAAATTATTTTTAAAAGTTTTATTCTATGTTTGTAGAAAAAACGACACTAACAATAGAAAAAACTAAAATGTTGACTATAGCTAACTTCAGGGTGTCGGTTTTTTGTGACAGTAACGCATCGTAAAAATTTATTCTCATCATTTTACGCCAAAAGAAGTATAACTTGAAAAACTATCTAAATATTCCTTAATAATAAAGAAAAATGATATTTTCAGCCAAATTTCTCATCGATAATCGAGCACTGCAACCTGTGGAGGAACTTCGACGATATTCAAGACTCGTGGGCGTCCGTCGAGTCTATCATAGACTATTACGGAAACCATCAGGACGTGATCGTGCCGAATGCAGGTCCCGGACATTGGAATGACCCGGACATGGTAAGTGGCATTTTTACAATATATCTTTGGTCCTTAGAGGCAATCCATCAACAGCTGTAGCTCAATATAATAGATTACCTAATCTTATAAGATTTTTTTGATTTCTTTTGTTTGACACAAAAGTCTTTCGAATTTAAATCGAACATATATTCACGAACCAATTCGAAATTGAAAAAACATTCAATAAAAGAGCATACCGATTCTTAAAAGACCAGCAACGCAATCGCGAGCCCTCTGGCATTGAGAGTGTCTATGGGTGGCGGTTTTCACTAAGCATCAGATGAGCCTCCTGCCCCTAGTTCTATAAAAAAAAAATAGCCAGTATTATTAGAAATGATGCCTTGGATGAATTGGATGCCTTTTATATATATATATCATTTGGAAGTTTTCTATCTTTCATGCTCGTTTCAAGAGCTGTCAATTTTTTTTTGAAGTTTGATATACTAGACAGTGCTCAAGACGAGATTGCTTTAAATATGTATTTTAATATAGGCCTGTTGTGTATAATATGTAATATGAAGTCATGTACAAAAAGCACTCAAATTTACTGATCGAGATATCATCCTAACTGTATTTTTCCAGCTGATCATAGGCAATTTTGGTCTATCGTACGAGCAGAGTAAGACCCAGTTTGCGATTTGGGCTATACTCGCGGCGCCTCTACTGATGAGTGTTGACCTGAGGACCATTCGGCCGGAGTACAAGGCGATCCTGCAGAACCGAAAGATCATCGATGTAGACCAGGATCCACTGGGCATACAGGGTAGAAGGATATACAAGGTGAGTTAAGTTATGATGTTTAAAGAGCAGTGTTGGCCTAGTGGCTTCAGCGTGCGACTCTCATCCCTAAGGTCGTAGGTTCGATCCCCGGCTGTACACCAATGGATTTATTTCTATGTGCGCATCTAACATTCGCTCGAACGGTGAAGGAAAACATCGTGAGAAAACCGACATGTCTTAGACCCAAAAAGTCGACGGCGTGTGTGACACCTACTTGCGTATTAAATTGAAAAATGATCATGAAACAGATTCAGAAAACTGAGGCCCAGACCTAAATAGGTTGTAGCGCCACTGATTATTTATTATTATTATGATGTTTAATGTGGTGTAGTTTCGACATATTTAAGCAAAGTTTTTTAAATAAATTTGTATGAGGTACCTTCTGCAATTTTAAACTTTGTATTTTGAGAACCAAGGCGACAAGAATAATTGCGATACTTTTACACTTTTAGATATAATCATTAGATTTTCTTCTTAAATGTTCAACAAGTTTTTAAACCAATAGTTTAGCGTTCTAAATACCGAGGTAAAGAGAGATATATATGTATACTCTAGAGCAGTGGTTCCCAACCTTTTAAGTGCCATGAAAGAAAATTTTTTTTCATGAATTTTTAGAAAGGCTAATTTCCCTCCTCGCCCTTTCTAAAATCCTTACGCCTAGGGGGCATGTAAAATACAAAATTTAAATGTACACTTAAAAAACTTAAATTATAGGTTTTAGGAAGAAATCACTAGTAAACTATCAAAACATATAAAAAAAACGTCGAGCCCTAGAATTGCCCCCCTTAACTGTCAAATTGCCCCCCATTGGGCGTGGGACGTTGGAAAACACTGATCTAGAGAGATATCAAAACAGTGTCATAGCTATAAATACACACACAATATATAAATTAGTTTTCTGTTTATTTATGTAATGTCAATAGTAAATAGACCACCATATTAAACATGTTTAAGTTAATATAAAATATTATATTTCAGCACCGAGGCATCGAAATTTGGTCCAGACCTATCTTACCGATCCAAGGCCAGTACTATTCATATGCAGTGGCGTTCGTCAATAGACGAACAGATGGGACACCGTCAGATGTCGCTGTCACTTTGAGGGAGCTGGGACTCAACAACCCATCAGGCTACAGAGTTGAGGTATGCAAGACTTATTTTACCAGATTTGCGATCAGAAGGGTGGTAGATCGGCATAGTTGTTAATCTTGCAAATCTTTGGTTGTGCACCAATAGTTGCGAACGTGAAGAGTGCGGCAACAAAAGTGAATAGGGTCGCGAGTGCGATGCCAGACTTCTTAGAATTGGAAACTCTTTTTTTTTGAAGAATCCTAAGTTGATTTTCAACAGAAATACTTCAATAGGGTGATGAAAAAGAGTGCCTTAAAAATAGTAAATGTTTCCAATCCTGATAATAATGGTCCGAATATATGAAATTTGATTCTAAGGCTATCTTAATCTTTAGATTTATTATAGCTATTGTTGTAGAACTAGAAAACATATAAAAACTGAAAGTTTATAGAACTGTAACCGCTAACTTATACAGTCCTTTATATAAACAGAGTATTAAAATAGTATTTGCAATACTTGAACGTTTTTAATTTCCAGGATCTTTACGAGGACGTGGATTACGGAGTGCTGTCCCCTCAAACCAAGATCAAAGTGAAAGTGAACCCCTCAGGTAGAAAGTGTCGCTTTTCTTTGTATTCAAGGGTGCGGTATTAATATGTATTTATGTTTATTGGAGGCTTCGTAAGTATAATCTAACACAAAACAATTTTTGTCTAAAAGTAGTTTTGATTTTCGTACAGATCTCTTATTTATTTGATGACATAATATCATATAAACAAATGAAACCTTAAGCATAAAGAAGTTTATTATTTAATTTAAATAAATTTTTAGTATAAGCTTCTCTATATATCGCTTTAATACCTTGCTAGTAGAAAATAGTTCTTAAAAATGAATATTCATTTCCGTTTTTCTATACAGGTGTCGTAATACTCCGAGCGGACGCGCAGCCATCGTATGCATACAACGCAATACCCACAAGAACGCCCTATTCACCCCTCAATGACGTATTTAGACTTTCCAAATGATTGGAAAATTCCAGTGTAAATCGCCATAAATCGTAGAAGGAGAGACCAAACCAATGTTATTAAAAACAGACTTTTCCATCATCGAATAATCAAAGTATTGTTTGATATTTTGAAAACAAGAAAATGTTATTATTCCCAATCCCAAAAAAGTGGAATCACACAAGAAATCAAGCTAAATGTGTAGTTGTATATCTCTGAAATATTATTTCTCATAAATAAAATGCTTTAATATAAAATTCTAGACATAATATAATTTCTTAAAGGTAATGTTATTTTGGTTTATCTTTTTACGATTACAATAGAATCGACTACATTTTTTACAACGCCATCTTTCGGCGTTGAACCCAGTTGAAATCTAAATCTACGAGTACAATATAGAAAAATCTGCAATCTTGTTGACGCAGTGCGTGAAAGATCTCAGAAATTGGCCGACCCTAAGCCAGTAATTTGTATATTTATTTGCTTACGTTTTATGCGATTAAAAATTGAATTTCACCTTTATAATTTTTATTGAAGAGAAGGCGTAAATTCGATCTTTAAACAGAAAATATTACGTAAATGTTACGTGGTTCACGATTTTAATTTAATAAATTCCTATAAGTCGTATTATGTCATGCGTATCACAATAATTTTGCTAATTGTGTCCATTAAGTTTTGCAATAAATATCATTAATTCGTCATTATTGGGTCGGTCGTAATGCGAGCGAAATAATTTCAAATTCTTTGTTTTATGTCAAATCAAAAGTTATAATTCTAGGTTTCGATTGAATGTGTTGGTGTGATGTTACCAAGTGGTTCGCCTTGCCTAGTTAAAGATAATTTATGATAGTGTGATGGAAATAGATAATAATTATTGCCATTATGTTGTACTTAGAATTAAGGATGTACATTTACTTGTCTTAAATTTAAGATTTTTTTAGAAATAAAATAATAATTCTCAATTTAATTTTTATTTGAAGTTCAAACTTACAATCATGTTTCATAAGGTCTCGGCAGGTAAATTGGTAACGTTGCCTGGTGGATAAGTTTTGTACCTTTCGTAGAAAAATACGTATAAAGGACCGTTGCCAAGTTATTTGCCGAAAACTACGAATCAAAAATTACTAAAGCAATTTTTAAAATCAATTAGAGTTTTTATCACTGTCTACTTTAGCTGCACTATCGTTTGGATTTAGAAATATAAACTCCTTGCTATCTTCATCCGCATCTTTTTTCTCCTCTTTTGGTTTTAAAGTATCTTCTTTGAGATCATTGGCCGGAACATGTTTGTCTTCCTTACTATCCGGTTCAATAGATTTTGCAGCAACCTCTTGTCTTTTGGTATCTTTCTCAAAACTTACAGGTCTAAAATTGGCTCTTCTCCTTAATGTAATATGAATATCTTCTTTCTTATGTGGTTTAACTGTGACAGATCCAACAACTAATTGCCGTTGCTTCATAACTGGTCGTCTAGTTACCTTAATCGGTGGTTCGGTCATTCTTGCAACAGGTACAAACTTACGCATTAAAGACTTTTTCCCAACATACGTTTTGTACAATGATATCAAAGGTTGAGGCTTGGTCTTTGCTGATAATTTTATGTTAATGTGCCTTGGTGGCATGAGTAATCTCTTCTCGCTTAGGGTTTCTGTTGGAGGTACATTACGATTCTTCTTCTGTACTTCTGCTATACACATCACCAGAAGGGACGAAATTAATATCTGAAAAAACAATACATAGATAAAAGATGATACATAGATATATAGACACTTTTAAAATAGGATATCTACTACTCACCAGAAGAAGCCTCATCCTGTAAGGGCAAGAACACAATGACAAAGTATTCAATGTGAGTTGGTTTAAATACAATTTGGGTGCTCATTTGTTAATTTTAATAATAAAGCTTATGGTTTCTTGAGAATAGATTAACGACCATATTGGTTCCCGTTAAATTACCTGCTATGTTACTATTTCTTACATTCACAACACCTATTGTCTTTTAGATAATGCGCGAAACCCGTCTAGTCCCTAGTGATGAATGCCACAACTGCAATATGGTTAAAAAAGTTTTATTCATAATTTTTGTATCCGTATGCCTTGCTGATTTTGCTGAACTTAAAGAGAAAAGTATCTAATGTGGAAAGATTGTATATTTAAGTATGTATAAAAGGACTATATAACTATAGAAAGAGTATTTAGCCTTATTTTTTTAGCATGAAAAAGTGAAAATAGAAAAGAAATCTTCATGTCTATGGTGATGAGAGTCACATCTTGTGTGTGACTCTTATATGTCAAAAACGTATTGGCTTTGATATACGGAAGTTATTCCTACGGGTATTTTCATGTAATTATGTCAATTGTATTATGTTTCTGCAACGAAGTGTTAAAAAATAACAGTATATATGTAAACTATATCTGAGGTTTTGATCCAAGCGGAATGTAGGACAGTTAGTATAATAAGTATAATACAATGTTATAACGGCATTGAAGGGACTACTCATATTTGGTCGTAAAAACCGATAGTCGTAACAGCCGATGACGTTGTTATTAAGAACCTAAAACAATAGAATTCAGCCGGGACCTTTGATTTTTATCAATATAACGGGTATTTTGTTCTTAACGATGTCATCGTAAACGGTTTTGACTGTATAATATATTATAAAGTTATAACTTTGGTACGGAGATTGTTAAGCTATGGAAAATATTATATAGAAAATGAATAATTAGTAACTAACCATACAAGTATATAAGCTATTAGTAGATTTTTTCTACGTAAAGGTGCGTAGTTCAGTCAACTTACGGTGTAAAACCCAGAGGTCCTACGTCCCGCCCAAACAACTTTTGTTTCAAAACGTGTAAAAGCTTTATCAAAAAAGTGTGAAGTTATCGTCGCATCTATAATTGAAAATGAATTTAACTGGTATTTTGATAACAGCATACGGTACCTACTTAAGTAAGGAGTTACGCTATTCATTGAAAAATATCGTTAGGTATATTATAAAGTAAATTTGTTGTTAATAGTTTGTAATCAACAACATTTTTTATGTACTTAAAAAAATATTGTGTATCGATCAGTGTCAATTTTGTATTAGCGATTTTGTATATTTGCTTTAGTCAAATATGCAAATACTTTCTTTCTTTTAGTATAGATAGCACCTTACAACCGTAATAACATACAAGCATCTTAATAATAAGAAAAATATTGCTCAATATGAAAATAATTCAGATACTATACTCGTAATTACCAACAAAGTCAAACCATTTCTCATTATCTCTTTATTTTAAAAGTTATGTCGTATTGTGTAACTCCGAAACGGATATGACATATTTCTGCACTATTTATAAGTACGTGATCAGCCTTCTATACACCTCCGATATACGCCATCTCAACCACAGAGACCGTACAATACTATTAATAAACGCCTGACAATTTTATTTAGCAACAAATGTTATTTACGAAACACAAGAATATCATTTTTTTGTTTTCCATTTAAAATTTAAAATTCTTACGTGGGAAAATAAGATTTCTTATTTCTTTACAAAGATAGCTAATGGATTACTTATAGTACTTGCTCTATTAAACCTAATTAGTTGACACACAATACAATATTAGCCAATATAAAATATCAATATATTATATTATAATAAACAAACAATTAGATTTAAAAAAAGAAACATTTATCAATTTTAAACACACTTATAATGTCTAATATTTATCTTTAAACATAAATAACAATAAAATACGATACGCATGGATGTGGAGTGATGCACCCGTCCGTTCGCGGCAAGGTCCCGAGAGGAAAAGGTATGTACAACGGCTCGCTGTGTGCACATCAAAATGGCGGCTTGTAACACGAAGCTAAACACGAATGTCTATGGACAAATGCCACCCTTGCGCCTGTCAGCTTACAATATTAATACTAGCGGACCCGACAGACGTTGTCCTGCATGATATTTCAAGCAATTGGGATATTAAACAAAGTATGAAAGTACCGACTGCAGCGCCATCTGCCGGGCTGATTTGTGAATCTAAACCATCCAGGGCTCCACCCAAACGCATACAAAAAAAACATTCAAATCGGTCCAGTCGTTTAAGAGGAGTTCAGTGACATACACACGTCCAGTAGAAGTATATATTTATGTAAGCTATCCTATCTTTTAAGTTAGATCAAACTGCACACGGTGTGCAAATTTGATTGAAATCGGTTAAGTAGTTTAGGAGTCCATAGCGGACAAACAACGTGACGCGTAATTTATACATATTAAGATTTAAAAGTAAGCTTATTATTGTGTATAAGTTGAAAGATTATTTGATGGTCCTAGGAGTGAAAAGCACTGTGAGAAAATATATGTTGGTGTTTCAAATGATCTAAAGGATCATTAAACAGAGGAGGTGAACTAGTACCTATTTTAACACAAGAATATTCATACAGAATGATTGTTGATATTGAGAGTCGTTATAAGAGAGTTAATCTAATGTGTTTGCATGCCAAATATTGGCAAATGTGGCCATGTTTTCTGCAACATCGTGACTTTTAACATGAATAAAATAAATGTATGTTATTGATATTAAGTTTATTATATAGTGAACTAAGTAGAAGTGACTAACTAAGCACCTGGGCACATGAAAATAGTATATGATACATTTTTGTTAGTGCTTAGGCGCTGGTTTATCAAAGAAATATTCGTTTATACAGTAATAACAATTTTCGTTAATAATATTTTGAGGTGCCTTTGTTGTAGAATTTTTGGAGTCTTTTTCTGGATTTTGCGTTGCACTATCACGTGCGACATCTTTTTCTTTTTCTAAATCATCTTTGTCTTTATTTGGACCCTTCGTGGTAGAATCCTCTAATTTCTTGTCTGATGGCTTAGCGGTAGTATTAGTGTCGTTAGTTGTAGTAGCATCGCTTGTCGCTTTTTCTGAAGACTTGGCAGTAGTTTTAGCATCACTTGAAGATTCATTTGCTGGCTTAGCAGTTGAAGTACTATCATTAGAAGGTTTATCTGAAGACTTAGGTGTCGTTGTTGCGTCACTTGATGGCTTATCGGACGCCTTGGCCGGTGTGGTAGCATCATTTGAAGATTTATCTGAAAGCTTGGCAGTTGTAGTAGTATCGTTTGATGATTTATCTGAAGGATTGGCAGTTGAACTGGCATCGCTTTTTGGTTTATCTGACGGCGCAGCAGTAGTGGTTTCGTCACTTGATGGTTTGTCAGATGGGTTGGAGGTGGTTGTGGCATCATTTGATGGCTTATCCGAAGGTTTAACAGTGGATGCATCATTCGATGGTTTTTCTGATGGTTTAGAAGTGGTAGTGGCATCGCTGGATGACTTATTCGACTTGGCAGTGGTGGTTGCATCACTAGACGGTTTGTCCGATGGTTTAGCAGTTGTAGTGGTATCATTCGATGGTTTATCAGAAGACTTATTAGTTGTAGCAACACTAGGTTTAGAAGATGCCTCAGTTGTAGAGGAATTAGGGTTGTTCGTATTGTCCTTCTTACTCTTCATAAAATTAAGAATATCCTTAACTTCCTTGACTATTGCCTCAGGATCTGATTTGAGTTCTTGAAGATTGATAGGTATAAGAATAACTTCATCTGTGCTATTTACGGGCGACTTCTTTTGATCTTGGGCTGGCTCAGAAGGCTTTTCAGGTTCATTTTTATCTTGCACTGGCAGGCCGTTTATGACACATGTGGTAATTACTATAACAAAAATAACCTGAAAACACAAATACTGTTACTTAAAATATCTAAATTTACAATTATATTTGCAAGATAAAGTTAATACTTAAAAACTTAAAATAAAGGAACCTTCCATACTCACTTTATTGATCTTCATGATTGCAGCGTCAAGTTGTTTTTGGGATTTTCAATTGACAAGTGAATATTTTTTTGAAAATCAATGTTTAAATATGTTTCTTAAGTGATTACAATTAAATGGAAAGCAATTTTAATGGCCTCTTAATGTTTATGTGAACATTAGCAAAGTTTTGCTAATGGTAAATGTAAGTATGGATTACGCAACATGCGCAATGCATAGTTCTTGATTGAGGCAGTGCAAATTTACTTTATCATACATAATAAATCTGGCTAAAAAAAAAAAGGTAGAATTAAAAAGGTAGATTTTCTTATAGCTTAGTTATATTTAAGAAAAAGAACAGTATTCTACATACAGTATATTTATTCTATACAAGCGATTAGGCGCATTAGTTTTCGAGTTTATTTGTATATTATTATTATTATTATTAAATATATATATATATATATATATATATATATATATATATATATATATATATCTATTAGGGCTTATACATTACTTTAAAAATAATAAGAAGGTATACAAAATACAAAAATATTATTTTTCCCGAATAAGTAATAGTTGGAAAAAATCAAATAATTTATAATTTGAATTACCTAAACTTTGGGTTAATTACTTTATGAATAAAATAATCAACAAATAACAAAACTTTTTCTCAATAATATGGGAATATGCTTGCAAATCATATTCGTATATTATAGTATGCCCTAAAACAGAAGTAGCAATGGGCGGGGCATATAGCAGGAACAAAGATAAAATGTGGACTTTAAAGACAACTGTATGGAAAGGACCAAAGGGAAGAAGGGGAAGAGGGCGCCCCAAAAAAAGGTGGATAGAAGAAATAGAAGCGGTAGCAGGAAGCGAATGGAGTAAGAAAGCCATAGACAGAGTCAGTTGGGAAAAGCTGGATGAAGCCATTACCTGTAAGGGGTTCCGATCGAAGGTACTGAAGGTAGCTAAGATATAGGAAATATAGGATGACAAGATAAATAAAATAATGTATAAAATGTAAAAAATCCAAGCTGAATATTATCTTTTTTTTCATGATTGGATATTAAACGGGCTTTATTATTATTATTATTATGCTTTCAAAGCCAAAAAAATTATTTCGGAAAGGGTACTTAGGACATCCCGGATGTCTGTCTTGTATTTAGAAAGTCAAAAAAGAAGCAAATACACACAAAATCACTGATATAATATTGAAATTTCATAACGGTGCCGAAATCTTTTAGTCTAGTAGTATAATTAATGTCAGATAAAGGCATAAGTATTTTATATGTTCTTGGATTAGGAAGTTAAAGCAAGTCTATAATTTCAAGAATATATTGGTTTTTTTACCAAATAGTGTTAAGTCTATAATAAGTTTTAAATAAATAAAACTAATTAAAAAAAAACCTCATATTAAATGGAATATCACGTACCTTAGTTGTATAGTACACACGTATTTTTTCACAGGTAAATGTAGTTATTAGCCATCGAAAATCTGCAGGGTCACCCACCCATTAGCTTATTTCGCATATTATCACTTATCTATTAAAATGTTACATTTTGCTTGCGTGATTGTATTGCGTTCAATTAAGTAATGTTTGTGCGCATGATAGCTTGGGATTATGTATAGCTTTACTAAGAATATGCGCCATAGTCATAGTAAATAGGAATTTGGTAATTTATTTCAAAAAATCTGCTTCCACATGTTGACATTTCAAATGAAATTCAGTTTCGCGGTCATTTGGAGGGTAAGGCAAAATTAGCATCTAAGGAGCTTGATGTGCTCAGCAAGGCGAGACGGTACTTCACTCCGGGCCACCGCTTGCAATTCGGCTCCGCGGCTATAAAGCGCTAATTCGCCCCAAATGAGTAATGTTCTCACCTCTTGCTCCCCAGTACCAGCTCCTTCTGCTCATCATGCATCAACGAAAAGCGGTGTGTATCGTCGACGACCAGTCACTTTCCGAGCGGCTTGATCCCTTGGCGTTGCGTAGAGATATGGGGTCTCTTCTACCGCATTTACTATGGAAAGTTTTCAGAGAAGTTGTTTGAACTAATACCGGCAGCTAAGTTTCATGTCACGTCAATGCATCATAAAACATACCATCCATATCACCTCGACACCCGACGTTACAAACTAAGCGTTTCTTATGTAACCTACCACATAAATAGTGATAATATAAGTAGGAGAAGTCTGCACCAAGGTAACAGTTAGAAGAACCCTACGAGCAGGATCAGAGGTTCAAGTAAATCACAAGAAGATTTTTACATAGCTATCGTCGATTGTGAGAGTGGCGAGTCAGTCAGGCTCGCCACTGTTAGAGGAAGCGAGTAATTAATAAGACAAAGCAGTATTCAAATCTGATTTATTGTTGCAAAACAACAAATAGTACTTACACCTATTCACGCATACATAATATTACTGTTATGATATCGGTATCGCCAATAATTGAAACAGCCACGTGAGCAATGTCAATATGAAAATGGACAGTACATACTTAATTATTATCAATGTTATCTGTGTGTGTCACAATAAAAAAGTTCTAATTACCAATAAATAATTATTTTTTACATAATTTTTTGTTCTGTGATGTATTAACAACCAATACAGGTTATTAAGTTTAGATCTCTTCTAATTGACGTACCTATATACATATAGTCGGTAATACCTTCATAATAATCGTTATTAGCTGTTAAAAAGGGGTCGCTAATGGAAGAAAATTTGACACATTAAGGTCTCATGTTCTTTTATTATTTTTATGTTAAAAACTAAAACTACATATTAAAATAAAGGACGTCTGTACGCATGTGCTGACCTTAAAATTCACATCAATTTCAATTCAGGCCGGTAATATCGCATTTACCCTACTCAATTATCTAAGCTACCAAATAAGGAGCTCACATATTCAATCGTAAATATTTTTTCAATTTAACGTTGCACTGTGTATTAATAAAATATAAGGTAAATAAATAAAAATAAAATTCATTTGTGTGAGTTTTTATTTCTTAAATTAATTTAAATACATTATCACGTGGATGATACACCTGTTAGAAAACGATATTTACATTTTAATAATTTACGTATGTCCTAAATCCTAATCCTTTACGTGTTATTCTTGTTTTTCTTAATAACATAAATAACATCTGAAATATCATCGCTTATTGAGTTTGATCTTCCGCTTTTATTCGCACCTTTATTTTTTTCATTGTCGTTTTGCTTGTTGGTAACTTTTGGTCTGCGTAAGATGTTTCCCACATATATGTCATTTTCATCTTCATCTTTCAGGGCAGTTACTTCTATTGGTTCGATAATTATATACTTTGGTGTCACGATATTGTCAGTAGTTTCAGTAATTGTAGAAGTTTTTAATGTTGTGGTGTCAGCGGGTATCTCAGATGTAGTTTTGATTGATGATATGTCCTTCTCAGTTGTATATTGTTCAGTCGTGTTATTGTTAGTTTTGTCTTTTTCATTCATATAATTAACAATATCTTTTACTTCATCCGCTACTAAATCAGGATTTGATTTAAGTTCTTCAAGTTTTATTGGTATGAAGACAATTTCTCGCTGTAAGCTCTCTGTAGTAACGTGATCTTCCTTGCTCGGAGTAAGACTGGCATCACTTGAAGATTTTACGAGAGATTCGGTTGTTGCGTCTGTTTCCAAGTTTTGGGAATATTTTCTAACAGAACTTTCAGACGTAGAAGTAGTTGACAAAATTTGCGTTGTTGGCATGGATGAAACATTATGTGTCACTTTACCCGTTGATTTTGGTGAATCACTTTCTTGCGGTGTATTTTTTTGAGGATCTAGTGATGCTGTGACCTTGTTATCATGTGGGTGAAGCTTATTCATAAAATCAACGATATCTCGTACTTCATCTGCAATTGCGGGATTTGATTCAAGATCATTCAAATTTACAGGAATGAAGACAACTTCGGGGGGTTTTTCGGCCGTAACATTTTCTTTACTGTGAGCATTTTCAGTCGTTATGTCATCTAAAGAAATTGTCGATGACTGGAAATCAGCTTGAGTTGAAGACCTTCCCGTAAGCATATCACTTGTAGGTAGCGAGTTTTCAGTTGCCATCATATTCTTGGATTCGTTTTTCATTGGTTTATCATCTAGTTGCATTGGAAGTAGATTTCTTGAACTTTCTGTTGTGTGATCTTTATTCATTGTTGTCAGACTTTTATCCGTTAAGTTTGTCTCATCGCTTGATTTAGGTTTATCCATATTATTCACGATATCTTGAATCTCATCATTTACATCATTAGGATGTAATTCAAAGTCTTTCAAATTCACCGGTATAAAAATAATTTCTGGTGATATTTGTTTGTCAGAACTTCCAACGGGAACAATACTCTCAGGATTTGACATATGCTTACTTAAGGGTTCCGAAGTGCTCGTAATTATTTTATATTCTCGAGGCGTTGTATTTGGAACAACCTCTTTAATCTTTGGTGAGGGGGTTGCCGTTGTTTCACTTTTCTTCTTATTATTGGGGTTATCATTTATTAGATTTACCACATCCTTGATTTCATCTTCTATAGCATTTGGGTGTGCCTTTAAATCAGCTAAATTAACTGGTAAAAATATCATATCATGAGACGAGCTAGATGTAATGGGTTTATCGACTTTGGGAGTTGCTTCTGATTGTTCAGTAGTTACCTCAGTATTTGGGTTTTGATTATTTACGCTGTTTTCGATCACCGGAGTAGAAGTTGTGGTAGTTGTACTAGTAGTAGCCGGGGTAATAGTAGTTAAAACAGTAGCTGCTTCATTAGTTACTGTACTAGTGGTAGTAGTAATATCAATTTTGGGCGGATGCCTGTTAATGTTATCGATAATATCCTTCATCTCATTTGCTATCAAGTTTGGATGTGATTTCAGCTCATCTAGATTGACCGGTATAAACAATATTTCTGGCGAAGAGTTATTAGCGGAACTAATAGCAACATTTGTAGATGTTTCAGTTGTTACATCGTTATTTGAATCATGTAAAACAGGCGTGTGATAAATTATGTTTTTAACATCATCGTCTGGATTTTGGCTGTATTTACTATTGTTACTTGATGGAGAATGCTCACCTTTAGCAGTAATTTCGATTTCTGGTTCTTCGGGTCCCATTGGTATTTGCGTGGTTACCGTAGGAGTAGTAGTTATCGAAGGATTAGTAGAAGTGCTGGTAATAGCAACCGTTGTAGTAGTACTACTTTCAGACACTGTTGAAGTATGTTTTTTAATTTCGTTGACGGTATTTTTAACTTCTTCTGCTATTAAATTAGGATGTGATTTAAGATCACTTAAATCCACCGGTATAAAAACGATTTCCGGAGCTGAAGATTCATTTTTGTTACCTTTTAGGGAATAACTTTCAGTTATTGTTTCTTTCTGTATCGGTGTTAAAGGTGTAGTCGTCAGGCCCTTGGTAATGAATGAGTTATTTGGTTGAACGTCCTTTGCGTCCACAGCAGGATACGAAAACTGTTTGGTAGTTAAACTATTACTTGATTTATTTAAATTTTTGTTTGAAAGAAGGTAAATCACGTTTTCGACATCGTCATTAGGGTTTTGGCGGTCTTCACTGCTGCTATTACTTGAAGGAAAACTTTTACCTTTACCTATAATTATGATTTCCGGTTCATCCAATCCCATAGTTACTGGCGTGGCCTTTTCTGAAGCAGTAGTTGTTACCATAGAAGTAGTAGGAGAGCTACTGATACTGGCAACTGTAGTACTAACGGTAGTACTTTGAGTTACTTGTGAGGCATGTTTTGAAATATCATTGACGACATGTTTAACCTCTTCTGCTATTAAATCTGGGTGTGATTTAAGTTCACTTATATTTACTGGTATGAACACAATTTCTGGCGCGGTTTCATTTGTTTCATCTTTATTACCTTTTACGGAATAACTTTTTGTTATTGTGTCTTTCTGTACTGGTGATAAAGTTTTTGCAGTTTTTTCTGTAGTGGAAGAACTATTTGGTTGTATTACGTCTTCATTGGGTGTTTGCTTGCGACCATTATCTTGGTTTTTTATTGTTGTATGTTCATGGGTAGGATAAGCCAAAGAACTCTCTGTTACTTTAGTTGATGGTTGCATCGTAGGATGTATCAACGTTCTTTTATCAATAGGTTGTTGTGTAGTAGATCCAATTTTTGAAATATTTTCCTTTGTTTCATGCAGTTTGTTTACGAATGCTATAATATCACTTACTTCATCGGCAATTGCGTTCGGATTAGATTTTAACTCTTGTTCATTAATGGGTAGCAAAATTATTTCCCTTGTTTCATTTTTAGGTGCCTTGGTACTCATGGTTGTGTTCATAATATTTAGCTGTGGTTGAGCAGTAATTTTATCCTTATTTTCGTTAGGTTTTCGTGGCATCGTATTGTTGACAACGTTATCTTCGGTAGTTTTGTTGTTTCTGATGTGAATAGGACGCTGATTGTCCCAATAGGATTTCTTGGAATTCTTTTCGTATGGAGAAGGAGTCGATACTACAAAGTTTACTTTTTTCATCAGAGATTGATGGGGTACGGCGGGCCCGTTTCTCAAAAATGATGATGTTGGCTCGAATTTAAGCATTAAAGGTCTTTTTGCGAGAAAATATTTATACGAAGATGGAGCAGTCACCCGAGGAAGTGGTTTATCCGTTATCACATACTTTTTGGTGTTCTTGGGGAAAAGTGTGCTTTTTCGTACTTCAATAGGCTTCTGTGTTGTCGTCACCTTTTCTGGATTAAGATTCACAACAGGCTTAAATCTGTGACTCCTGGGAAGTCCTTGTACTAAAGAAATTGTAACCACTAGCAAAGACGCGAAGGCAATCTGAAAATATATATAACAGTAAGTAAATATAAAAAAATAGTTAATATAAAATTTTATTTATAGTAGTATTTGTAATCTTCAACATACCGTTTTTGGTTTCATTGTTGTTAATTAACTTTTTGCATTTAAAACTCACTACTTTATCTCACTTACTTCACTTTATGTATCACTACTTTAAATCACTCAACGATAAGCTGATCAAATATTGAATGAATAAAAATTAAAACGGGACACATTTATATAGTAACTTAATTAAAAACCTTAATGATTTCTAGCGATAGATCCTTTTGTAATGATAATTAGGATCATAAATCCCTAATTATAGATAAGTTCATAATTTAACCGTAAATTGCATCATTTGTAAATGACCAGTTCATGATTTACTAGGATAAGTGATTATAAATATACATTATTAAATAATATTTTGTTTCTTATTTATACATAAAATAAAAAGGTTTATAAAGATGACTGTATGTACTCAATTAGTTATATCAAAGGTCAACCGAGCAGCTACTTTGATAACGTAAGGGGACAATAAACTTGTTATCATACAAATCATATTAGTAGACCTCCAACTTCGAAATATGGCAAATGGTGCACGGTATCCTTAAAATCAGGAATGGAACAGCAAAACGTATAGCCTTCAGCAGGATTATCAGGATGCCACGATAACCAACCAAATCCGCTGGTATTCCTACAAATATCCGAACAAAAAAATAGCTCACGGGCTTCAGCAAAAGTATAATATGGGTTATTAATACCCACATAAGCGATACCTCTCTTCGTTCTCGGTTCATATACAACTTTATAAAAATACTGCGGTATCGGAATAACAGGATTGTTATTTTGATCCGTGTATAAATGAAGATCAACTCGTCTTCCAAAATTATCGCTTAGTTGAGTTATTCCAAATGTACCCGTGTAGATAATTGTGTCATAGCCAGCATCATGAATGTGATTCCTTAAATCAACCTCTAGAGTATTCCAATTTCCTCCATTAAAACCTGTCCATTGCGGTGCACAATTAACGTAGTGAAAAGTTGCTCGTTCAGTAAAAGCAAAGACAAAATCTGTTTTTGCAGCCAAATGTCCTCTCGATAGAAGTTGACTTTTGGTCACATACGACTCCACTAAAGGACCTACTCGCTGGGCGACTGCTGCTTTTTGGCCTGGTGGGGAAAATAGCCTTTCAACGGGAATATTTTCATAATTATGATTATCTAAGAAGAACGGACGTTCTACTCTAGTTTGATAGAATGCATTATAGGGTTTTTGGGTATATTTTGAATAAATAGGATTAAAATGGACGTCATCAAAACACGATTCGTAGACAGGATAAAATTGGTCTCCAATCGTGTACCCAACGTCTATTATGGGGTATCCTTCGTAGCATGTTCTATTTGTGGGCTTACTATGATGGATTGGGGCAAAGGAACATCTAAAAAACGTGAATCTAGCAAGGGAATTTAGCCAATCATCGTTTCTGAAGTTATCGCCGCCTTCACACGATATAGTTGCTACTTCACGGCGATCTTTAATATCTGGGTGGTTGATAAAACCAGCTCCTTGGCAGCTAAGTGTGAGAACATCTCCAGCGTTTAGTACTATGTTGCCGTCATTATCGTCTGGTTCCAGAATTCGGTTGTTGCGCAAAATAACTGGGAGAGGTTCACCAAAATGTATTCTTGAATTTAACACGCATCGTTGGCCGTGTTGTATATTAAGTGCACATAAAATTAACATGTAGAATTTATGAAACATAATTTATATTGTTAAACGTTATACTTGAAAATTTTTAACATATTTGATGTATTTTGTTATGACAGCAACGCGTTGGCATAAATGTCAAATTACAATCAAAACAAATTAAATGTCAAATTATTTGATTGACTGTGATTCCGTGTGTGTATAGTATATATTTTATTTTTATTGATTAAAGCTTGCCAACGCTCGGCACACTGATACATTGGTAAAAGAACTACAATATACATTTTTTATGTACACAAATACAGTATTTACAATTTTCTTAACCTATAAAGTAATAATAAAAATAATTAAAGAAGAAAGAAGAAAATCAAAACAAATTTAAAAAGTTTGGTCCCTGTGGCAGTGTACCTTTAACGCTGGCAGCATTTCCTCGCTGTATTGCGAGACTTATTCTTTGAGCCAGGAAAGTGCCAGCTCTGTGGTCACCGGTACTATCTACCAGGCGCCAACTTAAATCTTTAATAAGCGCCTGTGCACTTGAACCCCACGGCCCAAGAGTCTTTACTCCAAAGGGAACAAAATTGAAGTTGGAGGAAAGACTCTTATATTTGTGCCGTTTGTTTGTTTTTTTTATGTTACAAGCACTTATTAACAAACTTACAAACATGACATATATGTCTTCGTATACGAAGAGACAATACAAATTTTAAACCAAACAATTAAAATTACAAAATCTAAACGAAAATCGATTTTAAAGTGTTAGGGGAGCAACTATGGATAGCATTATAAATTATGTTTATAAAAAATTTCAGACAGTAATAGTAATTCAATTCCAAGACAATTCTTATCCTTTTTTATTCCCACGTATAATCTTTATATCTCAATTTCCAATGTTCTTATAATAATTAATATTACTAATACCTGTACTTTTCGTAATGTTAAGTAATCATGAGTTAATTCTGTAGTTAAAACATAAAAAAATATTGTACTACTGAATGAACATAGGATTCCGGTTGCAATTAAGTCAAAAATAGTGTTTGATATCAAAGTATATAAAATTATGGAACTGAGACGTGACATTTTACTATTGAGAAATCTTTATCTCATATTGATAATATTATCGATACCCGTCAATCTAATATTTATTTTATTAAGTACCTGATAAGTACAATATTCATAGTAATTATTGCACATATACTCAGCCGTGATAAACCGTATTTGTCGACAGGATTTTTGATCTTGATAGCCTAATCCTTAGGGATAATATATTCGGTTTCATGAAATAAAGAGATTAACGTTGGTGCAAACCTTGGTTTGGTTATCGGTTTAGGAATATTATTACTTAAAAAATAGTGTCTTATCAAACAATGGATATGGCAACTGGACCCGATCTCCCCTAGCTACATGTAAAAGTGTATGGCCCGGTCTGTCAAGGATACTTCCTGTGTCAAGTATCTTCACAAACCAACAATGGGCGTGGAGAAGCGGACGCAACCGCCGCGCCGCATGGCATGTCGGGAAGCTAAAGGCACTGCTGTTACCGTATCCCGCCTATGGTGATTGTTGGTGGCGCCTTGAGGTTTTAGTGGGTATGCACAATCGCGAGTCCCATATAACCCTCCCGCACTGAGCAGTCACGCCGCGGTATGCGCAATGCATTTCCCCAAGTAAAAAAAAGGACTTCTTAAGTACTATTATAGGCACCAGTCCAAAGATGATCAATACATCATGTAAACCCGAAAGATGCAATATTGTGAAGAGGCAAATCAACTTTATTATTATTATTTATATTTATTTAATCTCTTATAAAATCAAAACTGATAATTGACGACCTCATTTTTGCTGTTTTTAGATAAAACTCTATAGATAGTGTGGCAGAATATGCGAACTTACGATTGTACCACCTTACACATTTTTGTACCATATTCTTGCAATAAATAAATTATTATTATTATAGATAGCAATAATGGAATGACTGCAAATGGATCTTTCTAGTGCTCGGATTTACTTCCCAGCGAATGGGAAAGAGATAGTTTTACGCTGAAACAGCGGCCTGCCCTGCGATTCTGTAACTCACTTTTCGAATTCATCATTAGGAATATAGACGCTAGATAGCTTAACAAAATTAACGGGAATAGCGTACGTATATACGTTTTTTTAATAGGTTAAAATCAGTATCGTTAGATGGCTTTAAGTCTTTAAGTTCTCTTCGGGGCATGAGACATATTTTTTACGATTATAAATAACTCTGGTATTTAAATAATACACAAGAACAGATAGTACACAAGAACAAGTATTACACAAGAACAAGTAGTACACAAGAACACAGTCTTAATAGAAACTGTAAGTAGGTAATGTTATTAGATACTTATGTTAAATATATTTTTTGTTAAATTAAGTTAGATTTAAAATGTACCTATTAGTCTTAAATTAGGCTAGATGGTAATGGGTAAATTATGTCTTTGTGCAAAGAAAATTTATTATAAAATCGACGGGTTGCGCTCCGGGAGTGCCGGCAGAAGTGAAAACTTGAATATTAACGTTGTGCATTTTTGATATTTTGGAAGGGTTAGGGAATAATTTTGCACGAATTGCTTTAATTATCAGTATAAAAGTACTATAATTTATGTGGAAGAATACAATATTTATTTATTGCGCTATCATTCACAAACATGACAATTTATATTACCTTAAATACGCCGCGCCAGTTGTCTACTCTCCATCCGTCTTACGAATTTTCGATCAGGTCACGTGTCATTCCAAAAAAAGTGTACACGCTGCTAAAGAAGTTTTCACTTTAAAAATCAAATAATAAGAAACTCACTTTCTGTGTTAAAAATAAAATCTTAATCAATAGTAAAAAATATTGTATTTTCCAATTTTGAGTTATGCATTATAAATACCAAAAATCATACATCGTTCATCAAATAGTAGATATTTCAATGTCAAAACAATTAGGTACTAATCAGTATTAATTAAAGCGACATTCACGGAAATAAAGGATGTTACTTTTTTTTTTTTTTTTTTTTTTTTTTTTTTTTTAATGTTTCCAGATTATTCCCCGACTATATAGTCGTCGGAGGTGTTAAAAAAGCTTACATAAATGTATTGGTAACCCGAATGTTTACTTTCTATTACTATATTACTACTCTACTACTACCTATTTCTTTTGACAACCCCCTGCATGACCCTCACGGCAAATCCCAAAAAGATGCCCCTCAACCTAACATTGAGCATTATTCCCTTCAAACTAAGGATGTTACTTAAATAATTACTGTTTGTTGAATTGTTCCATGAACTGTCGGTGACCTCTGTATTATCATACATTTTAAATAATGGCATTGTAATTATTGGAACATACGACTCTATACATCACAGCTATAAGGTGAATAGCAGTATTAGAGAGAGATTTTGAATCAAAACTTATATTCGTATGTCAAAATGGGAATAAGTGTCCATGGGTATTACGTAAGGTAGTATGGACCTGCCTGTTTGGTTTCTATAAAATAATATTATGATGGAGCACAGGCGCTAATTAAAGATTTAAGTTCGCGCCTGGTAGATGGTACCGGTGACCCCAGAGCTGGTGCTTTCCTAGCTCAACGAATAAGTATCGCAATACAGCGAGCAAATACTGCCAGTGTTAAAGGTAACAAAGATTGTGATGTAGGTTAAGAAAATTGTTAATACCCTATATTTTATTGTTGTGTAAAAGATTTTAAGAATAATTAAAATATTTATGAATAATATCTGCAGAAGTACCCAGCTCCCAACTGTTTCTTTAGAACGATAACACGGCTCAGTTTAATCACCAACATCGAACTAGAAGCCCAGAATGAGTAGCAATTACTGTACATAGTAGATATATTTATTTATGGTGATTTTTCTTTGGGACTGTGTCCGCTTCAGTGTATTAAACATTGCCTACATTAGCTGAAACGTCGTTTACACGCGGAGAGAAATATTGGATTTAATTTTGAGTGTAGACAATGGGTTTCTTAACAAAAAACAAAATAGATATCGCTAAATCACCAGCATCATGAACACGCGCCACATACACACCCTCACATACACACCCTCACATACACACCCTCACGTACGTACCCTCACACAATAAAGCCGAATTAGGTATTACTTAGTTAAATGTATATAATAATTTTTATTGAATTTTTCATTTAGTAAATGTTTGAACCTTTCTGTATATATATTATATATAGTTTATGTTACCTGTAGGATTACGAATGAATATTATTTTAATTAGAGTCGACACAACGCAAACTATGCGTTTAACCATATGAATATAATAGATTAGGAAATTAAATAAATAAAGAATATGTCTTATTTGCACAGAAACAGATGTTTCGGTTAAAATAACTCAAAGTATTGTCAACCCGTCAAATTATACGTTTAATTAAAAAACTAAACAGAATCTAGGTTATATTAGTATACATATTAAAGTTAGGTTTATTTGAATATTAAAAAAAGGATCCTAAATCAAAACCTTACTTAGAATAAATAATTTCAAAGAAATATAAATAATTCAATTCCGTACGTTTTTAGAAATTATATTGAGATTTTTCGTAATTAGAATTAAGTACTTGTTGAAGGTTACGGAATTAACAAAAAAACTTTCGCTACAGGAATAACTATTTAGTACGAAGTTCATAATGTTATGCATATTAACCAAATGGATTAAATACTTATTTGTTCCCAAAAAAATAATATAAGTAGGTAATTAATCTTTAACATATATGCGTATTTATTACATTTATATAGCCTGATGTTTTAGGAGATATTTTAATTAATTAAACAGTTAGTTTGTGTCCCATTTCCAATATCTAAAATTATTATAACTATATTTATATAAACCCTCTTTAGCACAGATAAACATTTTTTTTAAATAATTGCAACATTTTAAATATATGTCTCTTCTCATCACAGCGTGAGCACAATTAGATAGAAATAGTAGAAAGAGTAGGTACTTTAGTTACAGTGCAATTAGATTGATTTTTGGGTCAGAATCACCTTCACTTCTCATCCCATCCCATCACTTA